AAGATGTTAGCAGTTGCACTTCTATACTTTGATTGATGTAAACCACTTACGGCAGCGGAACAAGTGCACGACGTCTCACGCGCAATAGTGACGGTGTACATGTCGTCGCCGGCTCCACGGACAGCGAGCGAGAGCCGATTCGGGTTACCCCACTCGTCGTTGGCGTACTGCTTGATGATGTACATGCGCTGGGTCATGGCCTTCTTGGTAGACATGATGTGTCTATGGTCGTTGACAGGGACGCCGTTGCGTTGCTTCTTCGTGCTCTTGGGGGTGGAGCTGGCGCCCTCGTCGGCGGGATCAAAGCCCTCGGCGACGGGGCGGACGTCGACTGTCTGGCCGTCGTAGTAGGTCTGCCAGTTCTGCAGGCGGTTGACGAGGACCTGCTTCCGGCCGTCAGTGGGGATGTTGCGCATCATGAGCTGCTCCTTAATGATGTCGACGGAGAGCTTAGACCAGTCGGTTCCATCTGGAAGGGGACCAGTCTTGATGCCGTACGTGCCGCGACCGAACCGAGTGAGGCGAGGGATGTCGGCGGGATATTGGAGGGGCTTCTTGGGTGTCTTCTTTGGGGTCTTTTGGGAGCCCTCGAGGAAGGTCTCCGGATCGTCCATGTCCATGTGAGAAGATGACATCGTGGGGTGAACTGAAGGTGGCTTCCGAGATCCCGCTGCAGGCAGGATCGTGCAAGTGTCGGGGACGGAAGAGGTAGGGTCAATGGCTCGGATTGTCGCGAAAGCCAGGGGTGACTTATGTACACGACTGTCCAAGGTTTTCCGTAATGTGTTGGTGTGAAAGTGGGAAAACACAGGCCGAGAAGGTGAGATGGGGGTGAAATATTTGAGCAGCCCGGCAGGAGCAGGCTTCCTTGGTGGTCGCCCTTTCATTCTGGAAGGTGCGGCCAACCCAGCCGGTGGTCTTGACAAAAAGGCAGACATGTTTGACCAGTTTCACTTCTTGCAATCTTTCAACGGAGCAACGATCCCAAAGATGTTTCAAGCAGTTGATTTCAACAGAACATCGTTGCAAGCGCCAAGGTGAAGTTATTCCCATTCAGAACGCACGTATCAACCCCGCGCCTCATATTTGATCTCTGTGCCATATCAGTCGACGAACTCAAAGTCTTTCTTCCATGCCATCTGAACTTGGTGGCCACTTAAAGCTGTAGCGAATGGGATTTACCGCAGTACCTAGAACTGTCGTCAATTGGTTCTCGGTGAGCGCCGGAGCCATCGGTGTAAGGAGTCCCTCGCTGGCAGGGGTCCCACGTGGCGCTGATGTTTCCCAGAGACCGTGGAAAGACAAGTGCGGGGGGTCACTTTGACACTCTCATCTTCGCTTTTGACTTTCGCGCAGGTCGTAGCTGACCATACTGGGCCATGTACTTCTTTGCTATCTTTCCACAACGCCTCCGTTTGAAACGATTGACTCACCGAGGAAAAGAAAATTCCGCTCCTGCGTCGGTGTCTGCTGCTTTTCGGCAGCTGGAGCCTTTGTCCCAATCTGGCATGTCAGGGTCGTGAAATGGGGTCCTGATTGGCTTCACCTAGCTACCCTGTCTAATTCTCGGCATCCCCCTGTAAATCAAGTGACTCAACAGCAGCAGAAGCCCGCTTGACCTCGTCCCCTCTCTTCCACCATTCCCTCTACTGCGTAGTGTCAAAGTATTCAAGAACCTAGACTTCGACCAACCTCTTCATCCCACGCTCGTTGCCCAATACCCTTCTCTCACCCGTCCGCATCCTATCCCACAATGACCAGACGAAACATCAGTTCGGGCTCGGCCTTTGAGGCACAAATCGGCTACTCCCGCGCCGTGGTGTCGGGCGACCTCATCTTTGTGTCCGGAACGACGGGGTACGTTGCCCGTTTGAATTTGCGGCAGGGAACTTGACAATGAGACAGGTACAACTATGAGACTGGAGTCATCTCGCCCAACATCGTCGAGCAAACCGAGCAAACAATGGAGAACATCGCTGCCGCTCTCGCTGCGGCCGGCGCGGAGATGAAGGACGTTGTCCGCGTACATTACATCTTGCCCGACCGCAACGACTTTCAGATGACTTGGCCTGTTCTGCAGAAGTGGTTCGGCGATGTGCGCCCGGCTGCCACCATGATCCAAGCCGGTCTGATGGAGGAAGCCATGAGGATTGAGATTGAAGTCACGGCCAAGAGGGAGTCGGCAGCTTGAACTGAACCAGTGTGAACAGCCTGAAAGAAGCCTGCCATGTACATACGGCTCAGCTCTTCTGCTGGTAAGAAAGCACCTGTAGTCGATCTAAAATGCTAGGGCCTTTGTGACTATAAAACGAAGACAGACAGCTCTAGCATCGGCCACACACCGTCCATGTGTCAAACGTGCAGCAGTCAGCCATTGGGAGGACATTGTAGCCTCACTTAGAATGCCGCTTCTTGTCTTGGACTCTTCAGATGAAGTTGAGACGGGAACTGGACAGCTGGTCGGCGACCATACAAAGTCCCGACTCTTCCGGTGACTACGGTTGGCTAGGGGCACGACTAGCTTCTATGGTCGCCGACCTCCCAACATGATGTCCACCTTGGGTTTCCCGCATACCACTGCAGAACCCCGGATTTGTACGACCTGGGCCACACACAAGTGGCTGAGACACGGGTAAATGTTTCAGGAGATTTCGCTATGGGTGGCGCTATGCAAGAAGAACGATGACTACAGATGTATCTAGTGGAAATATGAGGCAACCAGGGCTCCCGCGCCAAACATGGACATGATGGTGACAAAACTGGCTGTAGAAAAGATGGACACGCCACTGAGACCGTGTCCGGATGTGCAGCCTCCCGCTATTCTGGATCCGAGGCCAATCAGGAATCCGCCTGCTGCAGCGAGCTCCGGCGACACGGCCGTATCCGCGGCGCCGAGCGCAAACGCCGGGTACGCGTTTGCGAGGGCCCAGGCACCCGCGGCCAGACCGGCTGAGAAGAGGATATTGCTGTATGAAGTCGGCTTGCCCTTCTCACCGCCGCCCTGGACAACCCACCAGAAGTATCTGCCAATCTCGTCGTAGGATGTTGACACGCCCAGCATGGACTTGCGTGTCAACAGGGAGAAGAGTTGGGCGAGACCGATGAAGAGCCCGCCGATGGTGGGCGCAACGACGGCATAGGGGCTAGCCGGGGTGTACTTCATCGTAGCATAGATGACGCCGGCGAACACGGCCTCGATGCCGATGAAGGAGGCTGCCCTGCTAATACCAGCGCGCTCATAGACGGTGAGCTTCGGGTTCTCAGGGGCGGCTTTGACGGCGTTGGACGTAATGGCCTTTTGGAGAAAGCCGGTCCATGCGATGCCCGCCGAGACGGCGCCAGCGAGCACGTAGATGCCAGACTGTGTGCCCACCGCGATCTGGGCCAGAACAGTGCCCGGGCAGGAGCCGGAGAGCGCCATGCCGGCCCCGAGGATTGAGCCACCGAGGATGTTGCCGTCGTACTCGGAAAAGAGGCCCAGACGAGAGGGGCTGCGGGGTTTAGGGCGGACGTAGCCGAGTTTGTCCAGAGTGACGACAATAAGTCTGGTCAACGGCGTCAGTGACGTGTTCATGCACGAGGGAAGGAAGCGCAGCATACGTGCTACTGGCGGCCGCGGCGAGGAACGCTTGGATCATGTGCCAGTTCTCCAGCTTGAGCTGAGCAATAATGACGGAGGGCTGATATACGCCCGCTCCCACCAGAGCGGCACCGAAGGCGGCGCCTGACAAGACGGTCGCCATGGTTATGGTTGGTCGAGAGTTTACTGAGATGAACCGGGTTGGTGCGAAGCAGCGCAGGACTTTTTACGAGTGGTTGCCGAAACGAGTGAAAAACCTGATGATGCGTGGAGAGAGTCTATCTCCAAACGCCAAATCTCGTTAGGCTTGTCGGATGAACTTATACGGTTTGTAAAACGTGTAAAACGAGAACGAGACTGCAGTCAGGGGAAAAGGCCGCCGGACGGAGGGAGTCTCCGTTGATTACAGAATCAAGCCCGAGAGGCCATGAGCGTCGGGGACTTGGAAGAAAGTAATGGTTATTAATGGCCTAAAAATATGGTGGTTTCGGTAGCGGGGCTCCATTTATTAAACCCCGTCGTCGCAAACGCCGCGCTTCCCCCTCTGACCTAGGTGAGCTCCCGCCCCAGCAGAGGGGTCCCTGCCAATGGGGCGACTCCGTCGGCAGTGTTGCCGTCCGCATCTGCGTCGTAGTAGACCGGGTTCCTACACGTCGGCCGTTGGTTCGGCTCATTGTGGACGTAGTCCTAGATTCGAGAGATGGGTGGCGTTGAGTTAGTCTTGACTCGGCGTCCATTGCGTCTTCTTCTCCCCCGCTAACGACATGGCGCTAGATGATTCCAAAAAAGCAATGCTCTGGACGAGGGAGCGCTGCTCCGGAAACGCGGGAAAGCCTGTTCTCGCAGTAAAGCCATGCGACGACTACAATGGGAGATGGGCATCGCGATGTGGAACAATTAAACAGCCAAGAAGACAGCGATGCATCAGTGTGGGAGGTCGGCATTCACCAACCAGAAGCCGGACAGCGAAACTTGATTGGTGAAGCAGAGTCTCAAGGGGATCAATAAGGTTGCATCAATGGGCAGCGCTCCCGCACTAGGGTGTACCTTGATAAGCATGCTTTCTCAGGGTTGAAAGTCCCCGAGACCTGGGGCACCGGTGACCGTTTCCACTCCAGGTCGCCGACGTCGGGAAACACTCCGGGGGCACGGGCGTCGCCGGAGAGTGGGTCCCGTTCACCGGGATGCTGCCTCCAAGGACGCGCTTTTGCGGGGGCTTGCTCGGTGACCACGGCGTCGACGGTCGGAGGAAGATGGCATTGATAGACGGCGGGGCTTATGGGATGTGTTTCGACGTGTCGATATAAGACTCGGTTGAGAGGCCGCCTCGATTAAGACTTTGCGACGCACTCCTGCGCAATACCGAATGAACCGCATCCAAGTCCTAACAAGACATATCCATCCGCAGAGTTACCCGAAAATGGCTCCAGAACCAGTCATCCATGAAATTTTTGAGCCGGTGACGGGTACATGGCAGTACATCGTTGCTGATCCCTCCACCAAGGCAGCTGTCATCATCGATTCCGTTCTGGACTTCGACCCGGCCAAAAGCGCAATCTCCACAAAGACCGCCGATGACCTGCTTGAAGTCATTCGCGAAAAGGGCTACAAGGTCGGCATGATTCTCGAGACGCATGTCCACGCCGACCACCTGACGGCGGCCAAGTATCTGCAGTCCCGGCTGCGGGAGGCGCAAGACGGCGCAGCGCCCGAGATCTGCATTGGCTGGCGCATCGGAGAAGTGCAAGAGAGATTCGCAAACAAGTACGGCATCGCTGAGGAGGAGTATGCCCACGCCTTTGACCGGCTATTCGACCAAGACGAGGTCTTCAGTATCGGCGGATTAAAGGCAAAGGCCATCCATTTGCCAGGTCATACTCCCGACCACATGGGGTACATGGTCGGAGGTAAGCTCCCAAAACCAGAAGTTTGAAACGGGCACTTACACGCCGCAAAGCCAACGTCTTCGCGGGCGACTCGCTCTTCAACCACGACGTGGGGTCCGCCCGCTGCGATTTCCCCGGCGGCAATGCTAGAGACCTCTTTGCTTCGGTGCGGAAGCTGCTTGACTTGCCTGAAGATACCAAAGTATGGACAGGCCATGATTACCCACCAGAGGGCCGGGGTCCCGTAGCGGCGACCGCAGTTGGCAAGCAAAAGACCGACAACAAGCATCTCGGCAACGGAGTCAAGGAGGAGGAATTCGTCAAGTGGCGCGAAGGGAGGGACTCGGGGCTCGGCGAGCCCAGACTGATGCACTGGGCTCTACAGATCAACATCAGGGCTGGCGACATGCCCAAACCAACCAAGAGCGGCGACCGGTTGCTGCATGTGCCCGTCAAGATGCAGGGCGTGAGTTGGTGATTTCGGGACTTGGCAGTGTGATGCCACTTTTTCTTGAACTTTTTCTTGAATTTACATCAATCTGTGTAGATTAGCGCGTCTTCGAAATTATAAACAATACCATTGCAGCAGACGTCGCATTTTGCGCCTTGTCATTTGTGAATTCCGGTTGGTTGACGACACGGAAGCCGACGGTGGGCTTCAGCGAAGATCATTTCAGGTGGCCCATGCGCTGGGCTTCTTTTAGCGCTCAACCCCCCAAAATGCCGAGGTTCCTCACGGCCGTCAGCGTCATTCAATGCGGGGGCCGGTCCCCCGGCTGTGTGGAGGTTGAGCCGGGGAACGTCCATCTCCCCCACGCAATTGCACCGTCTCCGCCGGGATTGGGATATACGGCATTAATAATCATCACCGAACGTGCAACTTCATAAAAACGCAATCTCGTCATTCTCAACTACCAGTGGACCGAACGGCGTCAATTACACGCAGCAGAAGACTAAGAAGACTTATACTCAAAAGACTATCACGATGCCGTATTCCATCACGGTTAAACAGATCGAGGGGAAGCCCGGGAAGGTTTACTACCCGTAAGGTACAATTCATCTACTGGTCGATCTAATGATGGCTTACACAAAAATACAGTCTGCAACTCAATGAAGTCCCAAAACCCTCCCCAGGCCCTAAGCAGGTCTTGGTGAAGCTCACTGCGGCGGCACTGAACCACCGTGACCTTTTCATCCGGCGCCATCTTTATCCCGGCATCTCATTCGACCACCCACTACTTGCAGACGGCTACGGCTTTGTTGTCGAGGTTGGCGAGGGTGCCAGCAAGGACCTCCTGAACAAGCCCGTCGTCATCACCCCAAGCCGCGGCTGGGCCTCGAGTCCCGATGGCCCCGAGGACGCTCGCAAGTTCAGTGTGATCGGTGCAACCAAACTGTACCCTGACGGCACCGCACAGGAGTATCTTGCTCTCCCCGAAGCCGAGGTCGAGCTGGCACCGGAGCACTTGACGCCAGCCGAGGGAGCCGCACTACCCCTTGTGGGCCTCACTGGCTGGCGTGCGTTGGTCACGAAGAGTGGCAACGCTGAGAAGGGCAGAAACATTCTCGTCACGGGCATTGGCGGCGGCGTGGGGCTTCAAGTGTTGCAATTTGGCGTGGCGCTCGGCTGCAATGTCTATGTCACCTCGGGCGACGAGGCGAAGATCGAGAGGGCCAAGAAGATGGGCGCGGCCGGCGGTGTAAATTACAAGGAGGACGGCTGGGAGAAGAAGCTCCAAGGTCAGCTTCCCAAGTCACGCCCTTACCTTGACGCCGTCATCGATGGTGCCGGAGGGGACATTGTGGGCAAGGCCGTGAGGCTGCTCAAGCCGGGCGGTGTCATCAGCCAGTATGGAATGACCGTGTCGCCGCAGATGGACTGGTTGATGCAAGCGGTGTTGAAGAACGTGGAGCTCAAGGGCACAACAATGGGCTCGCGAGATGAGTTCAGGGACATGGTCGCCTTTGTCAGCGAAAAGAAGATTCGGCCGATTGTCAGCCGGACGGTCAAGGGACTGACGAATCTCGAGGGTATTGACAGTCTGTTCAAGGACATGGAGGCTGGCAAGCAGTTTGGTAAGCTGGTCGTTGAGTTTGATGATTCTACGGCGGCGTCACCGTCCAAGTTGTAGATAAGTCGGTAGAAAGTGCAATTCGAGCGCATGCTAGATTTTTGTGTTTGCTGTCCATGTATCACCTGCCGGTGTTGTTCCTGTGCCACAGTGAGAAAACATCATAGAGTCTTCAATTTCAGCCGGCATACTTGGCACTGTGATTACAGACTTATCTGACAAACAATTTATAGGTGCTCTTATGATGTCTACTAAACGTGGGTTCGTTATTATTTGCTGTCATGTTCCTATTTGGCGTTTCTGAATAAGGCAATCCAAGTACATCGTGGCCGTCCTGGGAAGGAACACTGAGGAGGTCCTTCCCACTTCAACTCATAAGGTAGTATCTTAGATTAAAAAAGTGAACTTTGACAGCAATAGTCAAAGCTTCCTCCTGAATATAAACATACAGCAAATAGACGACGTAGGCAGATGGATGGTTACCCACGAAGTCCTACAGAACTGCAAGGGCCATCTCATCTTTGTACGCATTTTTTCTCTTGTACTTTCTCATCTGCTGGGCGTCAGCTAGCCATCCCTCTCACTTTCAACAGTGAATTTAGTTTACTGTGCTTGCTCCTTCCTTCCTTTTTTCCTCTTTCATCTAAGGAAGGTGCTCCTTCCTTGGGCTTGTTTTACACCTCGCTTAGAGGGCCCTCCCACTGCACCTCTTGTCTCTTGCTCCTTACGTCCCTTTTTCACCCACTACCTACCTACCTCACCTCACAGCCGTTCCCTCCTTCCACCTATCCTCTACCACAGACTTTCTCTCAAACGCCACTCCTCAAAGAACAACAACCACTGTCAACATCACGCTTCCAGCACCATCCTCCCCTTCAAGATGCGGCACAAGGCCTTCTTCGCCATCTCAGCTGTGGCCTTCATGCTTTTCATGGGTGTGAGTGCTGCCGCTATCGATGCCGCTGTTGCCATCACCAGCAATATCAACATTGAGCACGGCATCAACAACCTTGAGCAATCCGTCGCTCCTGCCCATATCAGCACCAAGCGTGCCAACGACCACACCGACAAGTCTGCCTCTTCCATCAAGTCCGGCCCTTCTGTCAACTTGGGCAAGGTTCCTTCCCAGCTTGCTCTCGGTCCCCACCTCGCTCCTGCCACCTTCCACCATGAGAACCCTTTCAACATCACTGAGGAGGAGGCTATCAAGCGCGGCATCAAGCTGATCCCCATCGACCCTGAGCACTGGAACGCCCTCCTGGCCGCCTCCAACCTCAACAACGCCACCAGCAGCCCCGACATCTCCGAACTTCAACGCCGCGAGGTCGATCCTCCCGACCCGACCGACTGGTGTACTCCGAACAAAGACCCCAGCCAGTGCATGTTCGGCGCCTGGTGCCACGAGATGAGCAACAGAGATGTCCCCAACCGCGCCTGGGTCTTCTACAACGATTGCGAGCTTACCGGCGACCTCCACCCTTGGACTTGGGGCGTGTGGCACGACATCTTCTCCGGCCTTCGTTGGGTCACCGTCTTCTTCATCAACCAGATGCGCTACCCGACGCTCAAGTACGCCGGCCGCGAGTGGGGCAGCTGGGATGACGGCTGGGAGCTCTACTACCCTTACGGAACTATGGGAATGTACTACTACCGTCGCTACTTTGACTGCTCTGGTTGAAAGTCGCAGACGGGACTGATACGCTGACGGAAAGAATACGCCGAGAGAAAAGGTGCTCCATGGACCAAGCGCCGTTAGGCACTGGCAGCGTCCTGGACCAGGAAGGATCAAGATCGGAGATATGCAGAGAGAAGTTGATTGGACAAGGGATTTCGTTGGAAGCCGAAGTCATCGTGGTTCTCTAGGGTAGCTTGGTCAACTTTATTCTCAAGTCAACTTCATTACATACACACACCCCGCTAGTGCTCCCATCGTGACATTGCACGCTCTGATGTACAGCTATTGACCTGATGCATCTCCAGCAGTCTGCCACTGCTAACGTGAGAAAGCTCTTGAAATCTTGAATGGAAGGGTATCTTGGGCGAGCTACCATCTCACCAATGTGCGCGGCGACCCCTTTTCTGCGGAGATGCAACAGGCGTCCACCACTCCAACCGACATGATAATTTCCACCGCGCTCAACACCACCCCATCTCACTCGTCGTCCTCGCTCTTCTTTCTCTTCTTCCTCTTGTGGCCCAACTCTTCGGGCGGGACGAAATCCTTTTCCCTCTCGCGCAGCTTCTCCTCCTTCTTCTGCTTCTGCTGCTCGATCCTCTCGGCCTGGGCGGCCTTGGCCTTGGCCTCCTTGCCGAGGAAGTACTCTCCCGTCTCGATCTGCTTGTCGACCTTGCTCTTCTCGGGCGCCGGCGGGAAGGGCGTGTACGTCTTCTTGGCCTTGTCGGTGACCTTGAGCGGCACGCGTCTCTTGCTGAGCGTCTTCTTCTTGAAGTTGGGCAGGAAGCGGTCCCAGCTCTCGCTCGCGAGCTCCGGGTCTTTTGCGAGCTCGCGCTTGATCATGAGCTCCTTGATGTGGTAGATGGGGTGGATGTTGTTCATGCAGTCCTCGACGACGCGGCGGACCTCCTTCAGGCCCTTGTAGGGTCCCATGACCGAGACGGTGCTGCCCTGCACGAGGATGTAGGTCTGGGTGAGCAGCTCCAGGGCCTTGAGCGTCGAGCCGTTGGGGCCGAGGATGCGCTGGCGGCGCTTGACGTAGCGCTCCTTGTTGCGCACGAGACTGCGGATCTTGATGACGTCGCAGGCGACGCCGTCGTCGAGAATCTTGATGGCCTGCGGCGCGGGGACGCTTCGAGCGAGGAGCTTGATGAGGTCGCGGGCGTTGAGGATGGCGGCGGGATCGAATGTTTTTCTTGTCTCGTGTTAGTGGACTTGGCCGGGAGAGTTGTGCTAGGGGACGAGACAAGTCTCTTACCTTGTCGTCTTGACGGTCATAGAACCTTCAATCAAGTCGAGCGAGCAGGCAATGCCGTGCTTCTCGAGAGACTTGGTGACGAGAGGCCATGCCTCCTTCAGGTAGACTTCGCGGTACTTGGGGAAAACAATCGCAAAGGACGACTCCTCGGCAAAAGTGCCGCCAGCATTGTCGGCAGGAGTGAAAGGGTCGACCTTCCACTTGTCGATATCGTCCGTGTCCCACGGCTTGTCCTTCTTGTATGTGGAGGGCATCTTGGCGGATGTCGTGTGTGATTGATTGAGGATGGATGCTGCGCCTGTCCGTTTCGAAAAAATGCGGCGGCAGTACAAGCCATCGAAAAAAAAAAAGATTCTTATCGATAAAAAGCATAAAAGCGGGGTATTTCGGTCAGCGGGAGCACCGAGGGCTCACCGAAGCCACCCAAGGTCCACCTAGGTACTAAGAGTCAGGTTCGAACCATGTTGCCAACTGACATAATGTGTTTTTGCTGTTTCTCTAAAGCCTCTTCTCATCCGGTTTGATTAAACTGCCAAGGTTGACCTACTGAGGGAGTGACTTTGTCTCAGAGAAGTTACAATTGTCTTCAGTGGCTTCCTTGTTTTCTTCTTTCGCGTCATCTTTCACGATGACTTCCAGACGAATATGTCTTTAGAGTTCAGGCCAAGACGACACCAATTACCTTCTATCTTCTAAATAATAACGAAATGCAGGTATCAGCTAATCCAAGTCTGTGGACACATGCAATGAAGGCCTCCTCTCAACAATTGCATCAAAAGCTCACCCCAGATACCGAAAGCCGGTCTCCGAGCATGATAGCCAGACATCGTGATCACCTACATCCACCATTGGTCAAGTCTAGAACTCCCTGTACGTCTTCGGCATTATCGGCGATCAGATAACGGCACTGCTTCTGCAACACAGCAGGGGCTTTGATATGCCCCTATTACGTTGACAAAACCTGAACTTGACCCATCTCAATCTGCACAATAAGGCTGAGGGGCACTCCACCGAGAGTGCGGCATCCGGTCCAATCATTGTGCATCTTCTGCAAGTCCCCGGACTGCAACTAAGCAGAGAAGCGTGATAGGCCAAGCTGTCGCGCAGGGAGTAATTTGCCTTGCTCTCGTTAAGGGGACGAAATGGTAACACACCATCGTGGTGCCTGACTTTCCAAACACACTTCCAAGAACCAAAGCGGTCACTTAATGTCTAAGACCTGGTTGTCTGAGCTTCAACGAATTGCTTCCCCGCCAAATTGAACTCCTTTCGCGGGTGCAACCCACTGTGCGATCGATCGACGCGCTCTCGACTTCTGAGTCGCTATCCGGACCGTGCTCACCTGCAGCAACCAATTTTTTTTTCTTCTCCCCTTCCCTGCTTTCACGCATCTTTGTCCCGCCTGAGCTGCGCGCGCACCTCCACGTCTCCTGCAACATCGAATTCGGCGCAGGCTTACCTCGACACATCAGACGAGACTCTCACAGGCCAACACGTGGTTCTCTTTGCTGAGAAATTTTCAACTCCACGCGCAAGAAGACGATCTCGACATCGCGCAGCCTCGATACCTTCTTCTCCACACACGAACGCGATCATCCCAGCAATCGTACGGCCGACGCCTGCTCTTGCGCCTACATCGACGGCCATCTCACAGACCGACTCAACCTCGCGAATCGGTCTTTTCATCTCACGATATCGGTCTGCTTCCACCATCAAAGTCAGCAACCTCGGAACCTCGATCGATCCTGTTCCGCATCTCGTCTGCATTTCCTCAGCGACGCTCAACAACGGACGCCCTCTCCTTCTCAAGCGCACAGAGTCCAAAGCTCTTTCCGACCGACCATGGAGGAGGGCACAGCACTTTCCGGCCTCCCGCCGCCGCCGACGACCCTCGAGCCCATCTCCCGACCGAGTTCGACGTCAACATCAGCATCCGCTTCTCTGCAGCAGTTGCCAGGCATCTCGGCGCTTGCGCAAGCCAACTCCACGACGAGCTCTCCACAGCTGCGGTACGTGATATGCCAGGCAAGGGCGGACGGAGGAGCCGACATTGCGTCTTGCACCTTGCAAACGCTATGCGCCCTCGTTCCGCGCCGTGGCCGATAAAGTGGAGGGATAAGAACTGATAGCTGGTGATCCACAGAACCGCGACTATTCCCGCGCCCGCGCCCGCACCCGCCGCGCCTGCGCCTATGACAGCACCCGCGCCCACGCCGACTCCCTCTGCGCCGATGCAGCAGCCTACCTATGCTTCTCCGGCGGCCACTACCGGCGGAGGATCCACTTCTGGCACTGTGAGTCCCTGTCCGCCGTCGTCCTCTCTCTCTCTGTCGCCGTCGTCCTCTGTCGTCCCCCATCGTCCCCGTCCTCGTCGTTGTCGTCCCCCGCCGTCGCCTCTGTCTCCGATACCTATCTTGCATCGATACCACTTTCCGCGCCAAATAAGCGTTGTCGGTGGTTGGCTCTCGGTGGCCAGATAAGGACCCCTGCAAGTGTGGGGCCCGCGGGTTTATGTGGGTCTGATAAGATATTTTATCAACTCAACTCTGCTGCCCCCTTCAAGAAGCCCGCCCGTCCCATCATCGCGAAGTCGAAGTGCCATATCCCATTACACAACCCTCAACCCTCTTTTACAACAGAACACGCAGACGAGGGTGAAAAGAGACGACAGAGACGATAGAGAAGATGATGGCCACCGCTAACCAGGAGCAACCCACGCAGCCCACTTGCCAAAACTGCCAAACCTCCACAACGCCTTTATGGCGCCGTGACGAATATGGCTCGGTTCTCTGCAACGCTTGCGGTTTATTCCTCAAATTGCACGGGCGGGCAAGACCCATAAGTTTGAAAACGCGCGTTAATTCTCTTCATTTTGATGTATTGGAGTGATGCTGACGATCTATAATAGTGATGTTATCAAGAGTCGCAATCGTGTGAAGACGATGCGCCCAGATCTCGCGAAGAAGAAGGTACGCGCGCGAGCTCTTTCCAGTTGTGGATCCACTGGCTAATTCGAAGAAAGCAGCAACAGCAGCAACAAGCCGCCAACTTCGCCGGCGCCGATCCGAACGGTATGGACCTAAACAACGCAGCGCGCAGGAAGTCCGCGAACGGCAACATCGACGGCTCCGACTCTCCAGTATCCCGTACGGCTACGCCTTCCCTCTACAACCCAAGCCTGCCTGTCTTCGGGAATATGGATGACTCGCAGCTGGGCTTCAACGTCGGCGGAGAAAACCGATCCGCATCCCCTCTGAACGGCGACCGCCATCTCGACGTCCCGCAAACCCACGAACAGCTTATTGCAGCCAACTCAGCTCTGAAAACCCGCGTCAGCGAACTCGAATTGATCAACGAGCTCTTTCGCGGAAGGCTCAGCCAGATGGAGCAAGACGAGGCAAGCGCGAGGAGGGGGCAGGAGATTAGCGGCAAGGCCGAGGCGCAGCTACGATCGCAGTTGGAGGCCAGCAACAAGCAACTGGAAGACAGCCATCGAAGGGAGAACAACCTCAAGAGACGCCTCGACGAAATGGAGCTTGAGCTTAAGGAGGCTAAGGAAGCTGCCGACTCGTCTTCCGAATCTGGTCGAGCCGCCAAGAAGCTGCGCGTCGCCGATATGGTGGGCGACTCTGAAGTTTCTACCCCTCAGTCAACTACCGCGTAAGGGCGGTGACGGACGACGGGGACGGACGACGGGGATAGGGACACCGGCGATAGGGACACCGGCGATAGGGACACCGGCGATAGGGATGCCGACGATAGGGATACCGACAGCATCGATACCGAGGACAGTGGCGGCAGTGGGGCCGGCGGCGGCGGCGGGCGGAGATGCTGAGCGCCGGCGGCAGGCGTGACAACGGCAGGCGCGGCGGCAGAGGTGGGGCCGGCGTTAGTGCAGTGGCAGGAGCAACGGCTACTGCTACTTCCGCGCGAAAATCTCCCCTCAAGATGGAAGGAGCGATGCAGACTTCTTTCTCTTTGCCTATACCTATAATTTTGCGTGTTTCTTTCCTTTGCTTTTGCTGTTTCTCTTCATAACGTCTACGCTACGTCATCTGCCCCACGGGGCAGATGATTATGAATGTTCGGGTCGCTAGAGAGTAGTACGTAGGCGTTGGAGGCCTATTGGGTTCGAGTTACATTTTCAGGCCTCGGAGCGCTTGCGAGGCCTTAATCCAGGGACGACTGAAAAAGGGGCGAAGTGTTAGTGGTCGTGGCTAGAAAGGAGCCTGAACTGTCTGCTTTGCGTGGAGTTCATAGGATGGATACCTTACCTTCCGTGCGAGGTTGCGGGAACTCAAAAGTCTTTCTTCGCGATTGAAAATAGAGGCAATAACACTATTATGACATGAGAGACTCCTTCTTGTCGTCGTCCTTGTCGTCGTCCTTCTTGCTATTATCGTCCTTCTTGCTGTCGTCGTTCTCGTCCTACCTGTACTTCAGCTGAGGTACCTAAGTGGCCAGACCGTCTTCTTGAACAACAGAACCTGCCCCATCTATCACCAAACGTTTTGCTAGCCGGGCAATGCTCCCTGCAACTTCAATCTTAGGGCACCCAGCGGTGATCATCCACGTTAGTCCCCTCCGTTAAGGTGGGTTACAACACATGGGAACCGAATAAATCTCAAGAACAGGGTTCATGAGCGCCGGCCTCGCGGGCGGAATACCTACTCTAGTGAAGCTAGGGAACTCGGGGTCATAGCTCTTCAGTGTCTCTCTCATCTTCGGTCTCCTTTGAGATCTGCGCATTGGTGATCTCTGATGAATTTTGCTAGCCGGGCAGTGTCCACCGCACACGCGCGTACCCGTTCCCTTTCTCGAGTTGGGTCAAATTATCTACATAATCCGTACATCTTGCATACATTAAGCCTTACTAGCCTGGGACCGATTACTTCTTTAGATCCATTTCTCTCTGCCCAATCTTTGATTCGTATCCGGGGCGGATGGTGGTATTTCGGCGCTCCGCATCTCGTCACTCTTGATTAGTGCTCTGTTTTCGGTGGTGCCCTCAAATGCCATCCTTTGTCTGAGGATGACCCGGTCGTCTTGCAGTCTCTCATGGATCCGACTTAGACCGTCGCCCACCTTGATGATTCTCGTTTTGTTTGGGCGGCGATCAATACGTAGTAGTCAAAGTTATCGCTGCTCACCCTCATGACTAGTTAAAGCCCTCGTTTCCTTAGTATACTGCGATTTAAGTTATCGTCTCGCGCACTGGGATTAAAGTGTGACGTGTACTACAAAGTGTTACGCGCGTCTGATCGAAGTGTCGGGTGGCATTCTTACGCAACCGCATTCTGGGCAGGGCAACCCAACTTGTTCTTATAAGGCCCAGAGACAAAAAGGAAAAGTAGGATGAATAGCTTTGGATTCTGCAACATTTTTTTACTGAATTGAAGAGTCTATTTGATATGGGCCCTCCCCGCAGTGCCTACGATGGACTACAGAGCCGTACTCCTTAGCCAAGGTAGTCGGATTACAAGCAGGAGAAGACAGACACTTCCACACTTACATTCTGGACTCCAATTTCGGCGTTTCATGGTCTACGACACCTGGGATCACGACACTTGGCTCCAGTCATATCCTGATCTCAGTATCCTTTCTCCCCAGACTATCATCAAGTTTGCGGAACGACGGGTCCCGTCGATAACTGCTGCCTGGCGATTTCCACTGTCACATACAGTAATACTTCATCAGCCAGTACCCACGAGGAGCCTGCATTCCAGCTATTCGAGGGCAAACCGAAGACGCCGCCGTCCGGTTAATACCCTGGTTCCGGGGGCGGCGGATCTAGCACCACCGGCAGCACTTTAAGCCAATAAACTATCAACTTCGATTTCCTGCGGCGAGACAAGCAGCGCAGAGTAGTTATGGACGGTGGAATATTAAACGCATCGCGGAAAGAACCCTGAAGGTCTAAGTCACTTGGTTGCTTGAAAGGCGTTAGACTTACATTGTTGTACATCACACCGCCTGGCGTTAGCTTCTTATGATAGTCACTCGAATTTAGGTATCAAAACGTTTGATTTTTGATGTTTGCAGCAATGGATTGGGCGATAAAACACCTCGATCGTTGAGGGCTTGCAGAAGTGAAACCACGGGGCAATACCGTGATCAGAACACAGCAAAAGGCAGGCAGAAAATCGAAAAACAAGCGTTCACAATCCCAGTGGTAGCAATAACAATAGCGCTTAATCAAGATAAAAACAACGGTGATCCCCCAAAAATGACGATGTGATATTGATAGCATGTTGAGGAAGTTTCGAGCCCACCCAGTAGGGGTTTCACAGTAGGATTGATTTAAGCATAGCAAAGGTAGTTCGCCGAAAAGCTATTAGGGAGATAATCATAAACGCAGCTAGGACGGCGGCAGCAAGGATAACAACAGTAAGGACAGTAACAAAAGTAAGGATAGTAACAACAGTATGGATAACAGTAGTAAAGATAACAGAAGTAAAGACAATAATAGTAAGGACGGTGTTAGTAAGGACGACAGTAGGACAATGGCAGTAAGGATGAAAGCGACGGCAACGAGAGAGACGGCAACGAGAGAGACGACAACGAGAGAGACAATAACGATATAAGAGACGACGACGACACTGAGAAGGACGACGACGATTGAATAACAGAGGAAGTCTAAAAAGAATAACAACACTAGATTGGTAGCACCATTACGTACTTATACACATGTGCCAGTTGTTGTCCCTACATCATAATTCTCAAGCAATCCCTTATATAGAGTGTTAAAGCATTGCTTTCGAATGGTATGTAAAAGTTTGGCCTTGTGATTGCAACTGATAGAACAGACATAATTACATAATTGTTCTATCTAGTAGCTCTGTAGAAAGTCACTCCCCCATGCACCGCTGTGCGAACCGCAAGGGCTTCTTTAATTCAGCCTGAGGATTCTGTGTGTCTTCGAAGCTGCTGAAACGTGAATGAATTCCCGATAATACCAATACTAGTTACAGTGGGCAACAGCGCTCGGCGCAATATGTCTATGAGCGTGAGGAATTTCCGCTGATGCAGCTTCCCTCAGCTGCGGCATGGTAAACACGCCGGGTTGAAACATGGGCCTCGGCGCGACGGACGGAGGGCAACGGACCCCACAATGCCGAGGGAAGTCGTTGGGAACAACGGCCAAACCGCCGGCGAAGAGGCAGGGATCCGTGTGCATCGGCGGCCCCAAAAAAGATACCGCAGAACGGGAGGGGAGGCCGGGATGTGGTGGAGAAACCGCTGTCACAGCGCAATGCGAACCCACGTTCCCCCGCCCCAGATTTTCCCCGTCTGGGGCTTTTTTCAGCTCTTCCTCCAGCTTCCTCCCTCTCTCAGTGACTTTGAGTTGTTCCGTGGCTAATTGCCCCCAAGACTTGGCTCAATGTTTTGCATATCTCACACTTCGAGGCGGCGAATGCGAGGCAGGTCTTGACTTCTCTCGTCAACAGCCGAGCCGCCACACCCCCTTGCGCCGTTCCTCGCATGGCCTCTATTCGTTTTCGTGTATGCAATGTCCCTTTCCGTCGAGCGGGCACGTCAAGCGGCGTTTCTTATCATTTCTCTTATCAGTAGCGCAGCATCCATCGGTTCGGTGGACAGGGATAGCTGCAGTTGGGGACTTATCAGCAACAACACATCGGCCGTGCGTGGGAATTGTCTTATCTGTCAGACATTAAAGTCTTTGGGGCTATCTGCGGGAGCCACTAGGAAAAAGCAAATGCGAGTCCCTTTGATTGCCTCCCACAATTAGAATTCCATAGGGCTCTCTCTCCCGCAGCAGTTTTTGTGAACCCATGGAGAATTACACCAAGTGAGGCGCAGCAACGCCATGTAGAGCGCCTCGTGGGGTAGGTTGCGTTGGGTAGAGCAACAAGTGGCGAGGGCAAATGCATAGAGAGCCAGTGAGGGGAGGGGAATATGTAGCAAAGAATGTCCCGGGCATCTGGTCACGATGGATTGAGGGGCAATTTCCCAGTCTTGCCTGCGAATTCCAGGTCTTGTGCGCCGAGGTCGAACGCTTCAGGGAGCCGAGAGTCAAGTCAAGGTGCCATTGGAAAAAAATATTAGCTAGCGGATGGCGAGGAAAAAAAAAAAAAAAAGAGGCGAAGAAGTGCATCCTCCAATTGCCCCCTTGACCAGAAGGTGAGGTGACTTTGACGAGAAAAAGATCTCCCTACATCCATGGATTGGCCCTCGCGCGGGCGGCCCGTGGTCCAAAAAAGTCGTTCATGGGCTAGCTCGGACAGCCGGAGCACGCAAACGCGCAGCTTCGTAGCGTTAGGTTGGTTGGCCTGGCCCTGTGGGTGGGGTCTACCTTAGTTCTGGCCCCCTCCCCGGCCGCCGACGGATTAGAGGGAAAAGGCTGGCTGGGCCACTTTGCTGGGCGAACTTTGTCATGGAACTCAACGAAACTACGGTACGCTTCCCCTAGCACCAAAGATGCACAACCACCAACCAACGCCTTGCATCTTCTCCCACCTACATCCTTCCTGTGCCCGAGCGGAGAGCACCCCATGGGCGAGCTGGACGAATGGGGGAGAAGAGCGGAGGGAATCGGGGGATCGGATGGGAAAAGAGGGACGGTTAGAGTAACCGTGGCGTGCTGAGGTGGTGTGCCTGCATGGCCTTTGGCCGTACTTATACACACACGCAGCACAATATACATACAACACGACACCCACTCCAGTCCAGAGTTCGATTGCACGCACGCCCGCATTTATTTCGCCATTCGAGCTCTTGTTTTACCTGTTGATTCCAATTCCGCCCCTTGGGTGTGTTTTCACTTTATTTACTCGACCCTGCCTGTGTGCCCGGCAAGTGGTGCACGTTTCAAGC